CTTTGTCCCTCACTTTGTAAGTGAGACCCAGACAGGTGGGGAGGAGCCAGGGAGAGGGCCAGGTGGGTTGCAGAAGGCAGGGCGTAGGGAGCTGCTGCACTTCCCAGGGACCAGTCTTTGGGAGGTAAGGATGGGAGTGAGCTTCTTCCGAAAGACCCTCCCCACTGGATCAGACCTGGCTGCCAACCTCACCCTCCTCTGCTTCCCTCTTGGCCTCACTGGAGTACGAGCCCCCACATCAGAACCATGTCCCTGGACCTGGCTGGTGTGGCTCAGTGGATTGAGTGCCAGCCTGCGAACTAAAGGGTCGCTGGCTCAACTCCTGGTCTGGGGCACATGCCTGGGTTTCGGGCCAGGTCCCCATTAGAGGTGTGCAAGAGGCAACCACACACTGTTGTGTCTCTTCCTCTCCTTCTCCCTTCCTTCTCCTCTCTCTAAAAATAAATACAATAACTAATTTTAAAAAAGAACGCTACCCCCCAAAATGCGTAGGGTATATAGGCACTTCAAAGGAGTGTGGGGGAGAAGAACAGAGAGCCCTTGGTTAGGTGCTTAATAGGTAGGTGTTCAGATACTACACTTGATCTTAGCCAAAAAGCTGAGAAGAGTTTAGTAGATGTTCAGGAAACATCTATTGCCAGTGGAGTGAAAGACAAAACCCTGGAACAGAGTCATGAGGTCTCATCTCTTTCCAGGATGAGTGATTGATTGCCTTAGAGCAACAACGAGTTTCAACCCTGTGCCATGAGAATTTTTACAACATGCAGAACCTGACTATTTAGCCCTGGCTGGTGTGGCTCAATGGATTGAGTGCCAACCTCCGAACCAAAGGGTTGCTGGTTTGATTCCCAGTCAGGGCATGTGGTTGCAGGCCAGGTCTTCAGTAGGGGCTCATGAGAGGCAACCACACATTGATGTTTTTCTCCTCCTCTTTCTACCTCACTTCTCCCTCTCTAAAAATAAATAAATGAAATCTTGAAAAAAAAAACCCTGGCTGTTTAGTTGGGGGCACTGACCTCTTTTCCCTTAGATTGTCAAATAAAAAAGCCAACACAACACTAGTCATTTGGTGAGAATGAATCGAAATTATACTTATTTTTTAAATAAATTTTAATAAAATTTTAATAAAATAAAGTTATATTTTATTGATTATGCTAGCACAGTTGTCCTGATTTTTCCCCATTTGGCCCCATACCTATTTTTTTATTTTTGTCAGATCGGCAAAAATTTTATTTTTTTTGGTGTGCTGCAGAATTTTAGTAATTAGTTTATGTGCCATGAGATGAAAAAAAAAAAAAAAAAGGATTGAAAATTGCTGCCTTAGAGTGAGGTTTGCCTGGTCTCTGCCTCTCCTGGCTCAGATTCCCCAGTGGTTGAGGAGGAAGATTTAATGTGTCTTCAATTTTGCTTTTTGGTTGTGTTCTAAGTACCTGGGACCTTGTTCAAGTGTAGAGTGTGATTCAGCAACTCTGGGTTGTGCCTGAGCTCATTTCCAGCAAGCTCCTGGGTGTTGTTGGTTCCTAGACCCTATTTTGAGCAGCAAAGACTTAGGGAACTCATTGAATTTGGGCCTTCAGGACTGCTTACTTGAGTTCTTTGTGACCTTACCAGCCACCAGAAGGAAGCCTTGTCGTTAGCTCCCAGCTCCAGGCTAACAGAGTTGACAGCTCTGAGGCTGGGAGCAGGGAAACTCCTCCAGCCCCCAGTGAGACTGTTCAGGTAGAAAAATCCCTTCTTGGCCACTGATTGATTTAACCAAGGGCTGCTTCTGTCTTTAGGAGCTCTTAGGATACCTGAAACACTGGGAAGGAGCACTGTGAAGTCCACCAGTTATCCTAAAGGCCACAAGTGCCCTCTGAGGAGCTGGCACCCTTTATGAGGATAGCGGCTCTCAGTTAAATAATTCACCTCATTGCACTGAGAATGGACATGTGATCAGGAGGTTAACTGGGTGTGCTCAGCTTGGTGGCTCCATGGCTGCCCCTTCCCAGGAAAAGCCCAACATTCTCTAAAGAGAGAAGGAAGCAAGCAGAGCCAGCTGCCCTCTCAGTCTGGGCTTCCCCTCATTAGCCAGCTCCAACCACTGGTCTAGGGCACACATCATAGTGTGCTAGTTACTCACTGGCAGGCCTGGGGCTCTTCAGGAAGGGATGTGGGGGAGGATTCCTATCTGCAGTTCCCACAGCAGTATTGGCACAAAATGACCTTGTGGGTCAGCACCTGACTAATCATAGCAGTAACTACATGATAGAGTTAATTGAGTTAACGGAGAGGACCTATGGTGGGCCAGAAGCTATGGAGAGAGCACTTGCTCCCTCACATGTTATAGCTGGGAACAGGAGACCCAACCAGAGAGCTCAGGGGAGGGGAGGCGGCACAGGTATCTCCATCCCTTTAAGATCTGGAATATTCAAGGCCCAGAGGAAGATATCAGCAGTTCACCCTTGTCAGCAGAAAGTGGTGGTGGGGGGCCATTTCTCCTGCTTCCTATCGGAGGGTAATGGTTCTAGCTCTGAGGGTTTCACAGCTGCAATAGCAACTCCACTTAAAGGGCCAGCTTGTAGAATGAGGAGAGGGGCTGAAAGCAAGCCCTTTCTTTAGCACCTAGGAGGTTAAACAATTTAGGGTGGTGGGCAGGCTCCTAAACTGGGGATCTAGAGATCTGGCCATCTCTGGAACCCCCTGTCCTGTTCCCCACACTCCCTCCAAAACCACCTTTCCCACTGCGGGACACTTCTCAGTTCTGCTGATGTCACTGCGGGTCCCCGGATGGGCAGGGCATCTTGGCCCTTGGCTCAATGTGCTAGCTCCTGGGACTGTGGGAAGGTCACAGGCAAGGAGCATATATTGCCAAAGTTTGTGTGTACATGTATTATGTAGGCAGGTATTTATCTCTGTGTTGTATGTCTGAAGATCTGAAGGTGCACAGCTTCACCTTCAGATCTTCAGGACACATTGTGTGTGTGTGAGGAAGAGGGTCAGAGGCTCCCAGACATTTCTGATCACTTGTATACAGGTTGGCCTCCATCCTCAGTGCCTGGGAGGAGCTGGCTCTTTAACAGTAGGGAATGCTGAATTATTGTGTAAAGTGGATAGCAACCCCCTGAAGCTTTAGGGATATCTGAAATTTGTAAGATCCTGGCAGAGCTGCTGATACAATGCCCTGGGTGCCAGCCCACTGTCCAACAGAGGTTTAGAGGAGCTGGAGTAGACACTGGGAGCAGGGCAGGCTGGCCTGTGTGAACAGAGGGGGTTGGGTCAGTCCTCTGGGGGAAATCCAAGTTGAGGCCAGATCCTGTCTTGTGGGTCTGTCACTCTTGTCTCTGCTTACAGTTCCAAGGAAACTGGTTGCTCTGGGTGGAGACTGGCCCCAGATATCAGGGCCCTGAGAATCCAGTCCTGGGCTTCTGGGAGAAGCAGGGGAAAGTGTGGGGTGTGGCATGAAGACGACTTTGACAGGGCCTGGTGTGAGGCTGGCCTAGAGGGTGCTGAAGAGACCTGGAATTCAAGCTCTGGGTATGGAGGGATCTCTGTGGGGGTCCTTGCCTATGGGCCCTTGCTTCCTTCTGGGACAGGCTTTTCACTGTGGCAACAAAAGCTGGCTAGGCGTAGGGGTCTGGTATACTGTGCTGCTGCCTTGCTCAGTGTGAGCCTTTCCCTCTCTGACCCTGTCTCCCTGTGGTCCTCTCTGTGGGCTCTTTCAGCAGAGACACAGCAGGACTCCAGGGGCTCTCCTGAACCTTCTGAGAAAGCGGAGAGGATCTAGGCAGCCAGATGCTGAGATGTAAAGGACTTTAGAGGGAGGGGTGGTCCAGGGGCAGCTGGTGGGGAAGAGGGAATCTTCTTTTTTGCCCTAGTTCCTGGTTTAGATGTTACAGATGTCAAAGCACAGGAAAGGGGTGACTCTGCTCCCCAGATGCAGGTCAGCAGCCAAAGGCTGGCTGGGGCACTCCACCTCCAATCTGGCTGTGCTCAGACCCCTGCCTCCCACCCCAACCCCAGAGCTCATGCTTCTTCTGAGGACTTCAACCTCGGGTATTCCCTGGGACCCACAATCTGTCTCCATTGCAACCCTGGGAGAGACCCTCAAAAGGGAAAGAACCAGAGGGTGGTGGCTCCACAGGAACTCATAGCGGGCCTTCTGGAGACCCTGTGTCTCACACTCACTCCTATCCAAATGACAACCCCTCAGGTCACACACAGGGACGGCTTTCAGAATCCTTGTTGCTTACTCTGCCTTTCAGAAGGAGCACCCCTTGGTCCTCTTGTTGGAAGGGTAGAAGCCAGCAGAAATCTTCCTTGTGAAAATCTCCAGGGAGCTGAGGGGAGACAACTATAGGTGCAGTGCTTCAGCCTACCAATCAGCACCAGGGTCCGGGCTTGGGGTCCCATGTCCCCTTCACTATCCTCACTTTTTCTGTTCTGACCTCTTGAAAGGGGGGGTGGGGAGGGATAGGGCTGTGGAGGGCAAAACTCAGGCTAAGAAATCTAGGGCTGTACACTGAACACCTCTTGGTTTCCTTTTTTGCTTTAAGCTCTTTGGAGGGCCTAGCCTATGTCTACTAAACCAAAGGGCTTTGGTCCCATCCCACAAAGAGGGGGCAGAGATTTGGAAGGCTCCATGAGATAGAAGTTCAGAGCTCGTGTGGCCCTGGCCACACTGCTTGTTGAGGCTCAGGGGAGTGAAGGTTGGTGAGGACAAGGGCCCAGTGCACAGTCAGACAAACAACACACAGCTGTCCAGAACCTCTGAAGCACTGTTTATCCAGGCCCCATGGAGCCAAGTGCCCCCAGCTGCCTGCCCTTCAGTTGTCAGGGGAACACAGGCACTACAGCATCCATGGCCTCAGACCCTGCATGTTCCCCAGCCCAACCCTCTGCAGGGCCACAAACCCATGCTTGCTTAGCCCTCAGCCCATGAATGAACTGGGCTCCATCTCGCACTGCCAGGGGCTCCATCAGTGTAGGCTAGCTCAGTACCATGTTAAATAGCTTCCTTGTAATCCCGCTTAAATAAACCTATCCCTAAAGCAACCCACCCACCTTACATTCTGAACATATTCTACTGGCTTATGCTTTCCAGGGAGTGGAGGGCCTCTTTCTTTATGCCCTCTGCTCTGAGGAATACCATCTCCCTAAAAGACCAGAGGGAAAAGTTTTCTCTCAACCCTGGGGCAGAGAGACAAGGGGAGGCCTGACTTGGAGGGAATACCCAGGAACCCCTGCCTGCCCCTCCCTTTCCTTTCTCCTCCTTGTCCTTAAGAGGGTCAGGAATGACTCAGCCAAGGTCACAGACCCAGGATCCAGAGTCCTCACCCACGTAGGAGGTCACGCTGGTTTTGAGAGCCCAAACAAGCTCCAGGGCAAGGTACTGACTGCCTGAGCCTGCCTCTGCCTTTGGCCCCTTGTAGTTCTCCACATGGAGTAAGCTGGGGAGATGCCAGTTCTTGACTCCACTCTGTCCCAGACCCCTGCAACTTTCTCCCAGGACCTTCCACCCCTGGCGTCCTCAGGTTTATGTGGCTCTGGGGACACTCAGATAGCACCAGGACATGGGAGCAATGGGAATGGGGCCTGAGCAAGCCTGTTCCTGGCCTGTCAGAGTCTGGGCTCAGACCAGGCCTTACACCCAGTACTGGCCATTTTTGAGGGCAGGGTTGGCTGTCCGGCAGAATTGTAGCAGCTCTGGGTCAGGATGGACTCCCGGTGAGGGCCCCTGGCCAGTCAAGGTTGTGAGTGGGATGGCTTGGCTGGGGTCGACTTTGCGGAAGGTCTCCGTGTCAGTGGCCAGGCCGTTGCGGGGCTTGGCTCCCAGCACCTGGACATGGTGCTTGCCTGTCTTGTTGCGTTTGCGGAGGTAGAAGAGCAGGGGCAAGATGAGTGCCAAGAGCAGAAGGACCAGGCACACGGGAATGATGACGCTGAACATGTTGGCCTCGAGGAAGCCCAGGAAGCCCAGGGAGCCCCTTCTGGCCACGGTGGGCACAGGGCTGGAGGCTGCCAGGCCTGGTTTACCAGTTGGAGGGCTTCCCTCTGGCTTCTCTGCTTCTGTCTGAGCAGCCTCAGGGAGACCGAACAAGGCCACACTGTAGGGTTTGGATGTGTTGTAAGGCTCAGTGGCAAAGTCCAGTGAGACCACAGCAGGTGGGACACCTCTTGCCAACAGCTCCAGAATGAGACTGTCGCTTGTGGGGCCCAGGGACCTACCCTCTGGCCTTCCTATCTCCAGCCCCAGCCTTCCACCCTCAAGGTCCTTCTGTGTGAACTGCTCCACAGGCTGGCTGTCCTTGGGCTCTGTTGTAGCCCAGGGAATATGGACCACGCGGCCATATCGGGGTCCCACCAGGAGCCGGAAACGGGGCACACTACCTGTGTGGTTGGCCAACTCACCCGCATCTAGGATGGTGGAGTCCAGGCGCAGGGTGGCACCCTGGGGCCATGGCCCACCTGCCCACACACGCAGCAGAGCCCTCACAGTGACATTCACTGTAGCTGATGTGTTGGCACCCCTGGCTAGTGCCAGGACATTGAAGTGGTCATAGGAGGAGGAGAAGTTGGTAAAAGCAAAGACCACCTCACCCTGGTCTACTTGGAGCTGGCTGAAGGCTGTGGCTGGCTGCCCACCCACCAGGAGATGCCCGTACTGGGGCCCCTGGGTGAGGCGGTATGTGGCATCTGGCTCCTCCTGGTCTGAAACCACCTGGAGCTGCTGCCGGCTCAGTGAGGATCGCCCTAGGGCTTGGGGCACCTCTAGGGGTGCCTGCAGCTGTACCTCAATGGTGGATGGCAAGACATCCACAACCAGGGACATTGGCAGGGGTGGACTGGTTCCATCAGATACACTCAGCTGGAAGATGCCTGCCACACTGCTCCCATTGGCCACAAAGGCCAGCTGCCCTGCGTCCACATCAGCCTGTGTAAAGTGGCTGACAGGCCCTGCATTGGCCCCTGCCAGGCTCAGGAAGCCATTGTGGGGTGCCCATTGCACCTTGAACTCGATCTCCTCAGGAGTTGAGTCTGGGTCCAACACATTCAGCTGGGCCCGGGAGATAGAGGCGCGGGAGCCACGGGTGAGCTGGAGTGGGACAGAGGCCTGTGGTCGAGGTGGCTGCTCATTCACATCTCGCACCGAGATGGTGAAGGTCTCTGAGGTTTCAGGTCCCACCAAGGTGGCCCCTGCTGGCCCCTGGAGGTGCGCACGGAAGCGGAAGCTATCCGGCTGGATGCCTCCGCCACTGTGGGCGTATACCAGATGCCCTGCCTCCAGCTGGGACTGCAGGAAGTGGGACTGCCCAGCATGGAGGGGCTCCTCAGACAGCAGCAGCTGGCCCCGGGTGGGAAACTGTGTGACCTGGAACAGGACATCGTGCTCTGGGCGCTGCGGCAACACAACACTGGCCAGGAGGTTGGAGGCGTCAAGGGCAGCTCTGGTGATCTTGGCCCGCTGGCCTTCAAGGACCCAGAGACCTGGGGGTAGAACACAGGCCATGAAGGTCCAATCCATTGAGGGAAGAGCCATGGACCCTCAGACTGGGGCCCTCAAGGCATGGTTTGCCTCCCCCCCCTCAGACCAGGTACCCAAGGATGGGGTTCAGAGTTCCCAGGAGGAACAAGGGCCATGTCTCCCTTCTGACCTCAAAGCCTCTCCATCTGCCCACCCTCCCTATAACATCCCAGGTCCTGCGGGCTGACCCTGGCTTTGTGTCCCCTCCTCTCTGGTCCTCTCCCAGTGTCCCCCTAATTTTTCCAGCCTGTCATACTGTTCACCTTTGTTCCTCCAGAGGCGGCTAGGGTGGTGGGGACAGGCAGCCTCAAAAGACACAGCCACAGCAAGGGTGGTGGCCATATCGGGGGCAGGGGGTGAGACCAGCCGGAGTTTCACGTTGTCATGGGCCTCCCAGAAGGGCTCAGCAGGCATCTTGTGCTCATAGAGAACATTCCCAGCATACACCTGTGGGAGACCCCCATTGTTGGGATGAGGCAGGTCCAACCTGTGTGCCCAGCAGCCCCTTCCCAGGCTGGCACTGGGCACTCTGCCACCTCCCCACACCACCCCTCAGTGCCAGCCTCACTCTTGGCTCTCCCAGTTGCGCCTGCCTCTCAATGTTTGTAACCTGCACTCTCCCTCACTGGCTAAGTGTGTCACCACTAGACAGTCATGTGGCTGTGAAGACCCAGGCCCTACAGCCAGATGGCTGTGTCGAACCTGAACTCTGTCGCCTGGGGCAAATCTCTTCTCTGAGCCTCTAGGGAAAGGGATACTCCACCTGCATTTCTCTCTCGACAGAGGTCCTTCCTCTTTGCACTGATCCTTGCCCCTCTTGCCTACCAAAGACACCACTTCTACCACCACCCTTCTTTTTCCTGTGGTGTCAGTTTTTCCCCAAAATGATCATTCCCATCATTAAGCAACCGTGTTATTATTTCTTCCACCTTAGAGAAAAAACTTGACTTCACTTTTTCCGCAAACATTTGCCACCTCCGCCTTGCTGTCCTTTGTAGCAAAACTGCCAAAAGAATAGTCCACACTCTCCTTATGCTGTCCTAAGTATGCTCTACCCGGACTTTGCTTCTGTTCTGGCCAGGGCACCTGTGGCCTCCATGTTGTCAGATCCAACTGGGGGCAGTCAGGCCTCATTTGACCTGCTCAGCAGTATTTGCCTCGCGTGAGCATCCCTTACTCCAATGTACCCTTGCCTTCAGGATGGACTGCTGTCTTGGTTTCCTTCTTATCTCAGGAGTTGCTACTTTCCAGGATCTCTTGGTCCCTCCACTTTTCCCCAACATCTATGGCTTGGCCTTAAGACTCTTGTCCACCGACAGGCAGGCCCCAGGTGCTCTCATTCAGTCCTCAATGACAACACCATTATCTGTATCTCCTATCTGGACTGCTCTCTCTGGAACCCTAGCCTCTCATATCCACCTGCGTCCTTAGCCGCTCCTCAGGGATGTCTAGTGAGCATCTCCAACTCCGCATGCTCCATGTGGACTCCTAATCTGCCCACATCTCTGTCCTCCCATCGTGGAAGGCAGCAGCTGTGTTCTTCCAAAGGCGCAGGCCAAACTCTGGTATCATCCCTGACTGCCCTTGTCTCTGCAAGTCTCATTGTATCTGCCTGGATTATGTGGATAGCCTCCTAACTGTGGCTCAGCCTTGGCCCCTGCTCCCCTCCCCCGATAGTTTGTTTTTAACACAAAATCCAGAGTAAGCCTTTGAAAAATAAGGTTATGTTGCTCTTGCTCAGATAGTGCAATAGCCCACCATTTGACTGCAGAGACACTGTTGTGACCCTATTATCCCTGTGACCTCACCTCTGACCACCCCCCTCAGCAATTACAGTCCAGCCAACCTGTTGCTCACTAGCTGTGTGCACAGGCTTCATTTTCATTTCTATAAAGAAGTAAGTTCTTTCCCCCTTCCGCTCCAAAGATGTCCTCTTGGCTTATCTTTTGTTTTCCCCTTTTAGAAGACACAGAACTATTTTCCTTCTCTCAGAAAAATAGGACTTGTGCAATAGTAAGATGGAAACTGATGGGTGCGGGAGACTTCTTGGAGAGTGGAGCTGTGGTGACTGGGGAGCACAGCTCAGTCCGAGGGTGGCGGCTCTCAGATGATTGCCATTAAGAGCGAACACAGCCCTTTAAAAAAACCCCTGGAAATTAGATTTTTTTGATGCTATCTCCTGGAGGTTGTATGTTGACCATTAATTGAAAAATATTAAATGCTTGTGCAGGTCAGTTAAAACCTATTTGTCAGCCGGATGTGGCCTGCAAGGATGGCCGGCTGTAACTTTTGGGTCAGTCTGAAGGGTGGGCAGGAAGGAAATGGAGACCCCTGGGAGTGGAGGGTGGGAGGCTGCATGCCTGGGTATAGGAGCATCTTGGGTGGGAGGGGTCTGGTTGAGGGTGGAGCAAATCACAGGCAAGATGGGGAGGGTCCCACAGCTCTGAGAGCAAGCAGTGTCGTCTGGGGAAAGAAGCCTTGCACTAATGTTCAGTCAGAAGGCACATTCTTGGCTTTGCCTCTTACTGGTCACGTGCTCTGAATAAATTCACCTGACCTCTGTGAGCCTCAGTTTCCTTATCTGCAAAATGGGATCACCTGTTCCTTGCCCCACCCAGCTCTGGTACTGTGGGACAGTGGCGATGTCAGATACCACCAAGTCCTGCCCAGCCTCAAGGGCAGATGGGTCTGCCACGCAGCCTCCTCCCAGCTTTCCTTCATGTCACTGCCAGTGCACCTCCTGGTGGCCATTCACCCTCGTCCTTCAGACAGCTGGGATTTGAGGGGGAAGCAATGTAGGGTGGGGACAGAGCTCTGAAGGTCTGGTCCATTCCTCCCGCTTCCTCAGCATCGGATGGCAAAGGCTCTCAGGGACTCAGGGTGCACAGATATGGTAGCCACCAGCCTGCTGAAAATTTCATTGGAGGGAGGGGCAAGAAGGGGGCCATAGCTGAAGCCAGGGCTACAGGAGAACGGAGAACCCAGGCCTGGAGGTTGTTGATATGAAAGACTCATGAAACCTTTCCCACCCCTGCTAAAGCCCCTCCTTTCCTGAGGCCAGAAAGCTCCAAGACCACTCTGCCTTATAAGGGGTATTCAGGGATGGCTGCTGGCACTGGCATGGTTAGCACAGAGCTCTGTGATCCCAGCAGCCTTGCAGCCTGAGTGTTCACTGATAGCCTCTGCTGTGCTCTGGGACAGCCATATCCTGAAACTGCTGTGATAGACACACTCAGCTATCTTCTGTCCACTCATATGCTCCCAGGACCTGCTCTGCTTCTTGCTGGCCCCTGAACAGAGCCCCAGGTCCATACCTCTGTCCACAGTCCCAACAGCTTCCTTCAACAGACTCCTTCCCCCAGACCAAGCACTGCTCCTCACCAGCCCACTACTGTCCCCAACCCAGTACACACCTTCTAGCTCCTAGTGTCCAACTGCAGCTTCCTTCTGGAAGCCAAGCCCCGGGCCCCGATCCCTGATCTGAACCCCTGTTATCCGGACCTCCTGCATTATTCTTCTTTGGACGAAAAAGGGGCCACATAATAAACGTGACAAGCTTGGGGGAGGCCTGCATGGTGGGTCTTACAAACTCAGAGACTGAAAGCAACCATGTAGGATGGTTGGAAATTAGTACTTCTTAACTAAAGGTAAGCCACAGTAGTCACGTCCTAGGCACATATCTTCCTTAACAAAGGTCAATCTTTACCTTAACTGAGCCTGTCTATTGGAATAGGCAGAGGAATCCCTTTTTCCAGACCCCTCAGGGCACAATCTCCCACCAGAGTACAAGATCAGGGATCCCCTCATTGTTATTGTTATCTTATTGTTATCGTGATAATTGTTAACTGCTAACTATGCTATTTCCACCCAATGTAAAAGAAGTATGTGTCTGTCTATTCCTTTTTTTATCCCATCCCAGAGATTTACCTGCTTTGCTTTTCTCCCACCTCCCTAATCTATCACTGATGGATTTCATGTTACTCCCTTTGATTCTAATGTGTAAAATAAGGTGCATAACTACAGTTTTCTGGAGCATTTTCTCAATCAGTTGAAATTTTGCTTCCTGGCAGTTGTCAGTTTGGCTCAAATAAACTCATAAAAATTCTTACAGGTTTGGACATTTCTTCCATTGACATTTACTTGGCATAGTGCCACAGAATTCCAAAGAAGCCCACCCAGGACCACCTTGCAGACCCAGACCCTATGCTAGGTACCAGCAGGGACCTATTGTGTTCCACCTGCTCCTCGTTTTTCATCAGGTGAACTTGGGTGAGTTTCATGTGGAATTTCAGAGTTCCCTGTTTTAAGGTAAGAGGCTCTTTCATTTGAGCTGGTTTGTTTGTTTGTTTGTTTAATTCTTTGAAGTAGAACTATAGGTTAAGGGGTTCAGAGAACCCGGGCTAAGGCGATACAGGAGACAAAATGGGTGGTTAGTTTTTTAACTTTGTCTTTTCATTTGGAATTGCTTTCTGAGAGCCTGCACAAAAAACATTTTGCTGGACAAATGAGAGCCTGAACTCTCTGGGGTCCAAAGATAAGAAGCAATTCCTCCCTCCAGCTCAAGTCTTGAGTATTAGATGACTACGAATCTATGTGGAGGTGTCAGAAGGTATACCTCATGATGTGCAAGAGCCCCAAAGGAAATCCCAACTCAACTGTAATTAAATTGACTTGTCTAGGGACGTGCACATAAACATTGGTTACCTAACTCTCTGAGTCATCATGGCTGTGTTAGATAGCTGATGAGAGAAACTGAGACAGTAAGAGTGTTTGAGATGACTCAGGAGATGACAGCCTTTTGGCGTTCAACCCATAAGCAGCATCCTTCAACCCAACACACAATATCCCTAGAAATTTGTTCAGGCTCTACAGATCCCAAAATAAAACTAAAATTAACATGGGAAATCATGCTTTCAGGGTCAGAAACTCCTTGCCCCAGCCCCCATTAACACTCCTGCAGATACACAATAAAAAGGAAGCCTTTATTTGCAAGTACTTAAAGAAATGGAAGGATCTAACTAGAAATTATATCAATTTAGCATTGCCAAAATGGAGGGTGTGTGTGTGTGTGTGTGTGTGTGTGTGTGTGTGTGTGTGCCTAAATTAATTTTTTGCATCCAAACTTAGAAAATGCTGGTTCAGCCCTGACTGACGTTGCTCAGTGGTTGGGCATTGTCCTGCAAACTGAAAGATTGCAGGTTCGATTCCCAGTTAGGGCACATGCCTGGGTTTCGGGCCAGGTCCCCAGCAGGATGTGTGAGAGGCAACCTATGGATGTTTCTCTTCCTCCCCTCCCCATTCTCTAAAAGCAAATAAATAAAATCTTAAAGAAAAAAAAATGCTGTTTCTAAAATTATACTGAATGAAAGGGAAGCATCTTGATCGGAGGTTAGAAGCTTCTAGGAGGAACACAGATATATTTGTTTTATAAAAAGTCAAGAAGAAAT